CTGGAATGCTAAAAGAGCTCAGACTGACCACTGGTAGTGTTGCACATGAAAAGACGGTGAGATTCATCCTGTAGAAACCAAATACACAAATACTGAAATGTTCAGGATGTGGAAACAAATCACCTTTTGAGGAGAGCACAACAGCACCGCTTTTTCTCAGTGGCTGCCCCTTGCCATAGGCTGCCCTGAGGCATGCACTTCGCAGCATTTCAAAAGGACATTGGCACAAAGTTGTCTGCTTAAATATTAACAGATCTCAGGTTTCTCAGCAATTTTTCTGGTTGTGAAACTTTGTCTTTCCATTCTTAAATTTACCTGCAGCAGCGTTGTCCCTGCTTATAGCCAGTTCTTTCTTCCCAACACCTACAGAATTGGCTACAAGAAGGAGCAAGGCTGAGAAGAGAATGGAGATGACGATGTCTCTGAGAATGCTGCACCTTTCTTAGCTTCAAAGAGACAAAGTGGGGAGAAAACACGTTAGAGCACTGGGAAAGTTACCAAAGGAACTGTATGGAGACTTTACCATTATTATTCCCCTCCCCTTCCCTTATATTATATCCTCTGTTTTCTCCCCAGAAAAGCTCTCAATAAGAGTCATAATATAATTTGTAAATCAAATGTAGGCCTGGATCAATACCTCTGTCCATGCTGCACAGTGGCATAATAACTGAAAGATGTTCTTGTAATTGTTATAAGGAGATGGGATTGTTTCATTTATGTAAGTGAAATGTGTTGTTAAGTCATCTGATGATAAGAGTTGACTCTGAGGTTTCTATACTCGTGGCAAAATGTCAATATTCCTAAAGCATCTCAGAGTCAGCAATTTCAGAGAACAGGTTATTTGCAAAATAGCCTCCCCATTATAATCCAGTGACACACAAATCTGCTGCTCCTGAAGTTCAGCACTGGCCTTTCCAAATCCAAAGTTAAATGGATTCTGCCCCAAGAGCTGAATCGTCACTGAAACTTCTGTGCTTCAGAGAGATTTGCTGTTACTGAGGAAATTGGGCTCCTACGTATTTCTATTCAATAATTTCCCAGGGACCCATCTTCAGTGCATGGTAATAGAGTATATTGCAGTGTTGTAGCTTCTGGATAGTCTAATAGACATGTAATCTTATTTTAGTGGAAACCTGGATGCTCGCGGACTTGGGCAGAGCAGTAATTTGCTGTACAAACAGTCCCCCTGAATTCAGTAGGAAGCTGTGCAGGTATTGTTTAGTATGTAAAAGTGTATTCAGACCTCATTAGGTTATACCACTGTATTTAGCAAAGTTGCTTTTTGATTTCTACTGCAGGAAAACTCAGGCCCTTTTCTGGTGGGCAACATGTTTGTTTGTTTGTTTGTTTCATTTGTGCAATAGAAAAAAGTGAAAATTACATTTGCACACAGTGATTTCCCAAAATGTTTGAGGCCTTTGCCTATCTTCTTGACGTTGTGCCTGTTTGGAGGATTAATAATGGTGAATAATGTCCTTCAAGTATTCACACATGTAGTGAGCGCCTTGGTACATCTAACACTCTTCCTGCTCGCCCTTCATCAGCTGTGGACCAGTCTTTGCCTCAGATCATTTCTAGTAGGTAAGAAGAATAAGTAAAGCGTATATACCCTGTAGTGTAACCATCTTCATTGCTTAGACTGTGCTCCCCTGTTCCCACTTCCCTGAGCACACTGGATACCAATGACAGACACCATTTCTCCTGCTCATTCTCTCACCGGCTTACTTTTGATCTTCCATAATTGCGTTTTTCAGGGGCAGTGACAAGTATTTACCTCGGCAGGTGAAGATTACCCTTCGCTGTTTCCCTTACACTCAGCACAGGAGCTGCTAACCTGAGCTGCTTTTCTCTAGCATCGCTATTGTACTGTGCAACAAAGGTGTCCTGTTCAAATGTTATCGCACGAACCATTCTTGCCATACTTGGGCTATCCACTTATATCAAAGAGGCCTTTCAACACATATCTACAAACCATCTCCAACAGAACCTTTCCCCAGCCCGTGACAAGTAAGAGCGTGTCTTGCCTCTTGCATACTGCGACTTGCAATTGCCTGGGGTGCAATGCTTCAGGATCTCCTTGGCCTAGCTAAAGTTCAGCCCTCTGCCACTTTCCTCTGATAAGCAAGGCCACGGACCTTTTGCAGCAGCCTGGCTATTTGTAGATGCGCTGCATGGACTCAAATCCATGTGCATGCTCAGCGCTCACCAAGATAAAATAGCCTGTGATGAATTCCACTCTGAGAGCAGTAAAGAGAAGTGATGTGAATAGGATTTGGAGGACCAGATCAAATAACTCTAAAGAGCACTTGAAACAGCCCGTCAAGAAAATGTGGCCATGCAGGAGCTTCGTTGGGTGTTTCTGAAGGCTCCCAGGGCTGTTGCTCCTTGTCCTCTCCTACAAAGAGTGCTCTGCAGACAAAAGATGCCAAAACAGGTCAGGTGCCAAACTCAGCTCCTGTATTCAATTTGCTAGATGTGGCTAAATAATGAACTGCGTTCATTTAGTGCAAGCCTCTCTTACCTCTCATTTGTTTTCATGTAATAGATTTACTATGGATAAACTAGGTGTAAACAGCACTTCATTGTAAGTCAGTGGTACCAAGAACTCCAAATAATACACTACTGAGGAAGGCAGTTTTAGTCAGGTACACCTGCAAACCCCCTAAAGAAAACTAGATATAAATCTCCTACTTCAGTTGTTATGTAGTTTTTACCCCTAATCACTAGGTAAGACTCATACTTGTTTGAACTGCCTCCTGTTTACAGGGACTTAGTTCCTTTGCCATGGCCTCAGAGTCCAACTTTACAGCAAGAACTCCCGGCCTAGCCTTCTGTCGGGAGAAGTGGAACGAGTTAGGATTTTGGCAGTCCCAGGATGTTCAAACAATAGTAGCATATAAGTAACCACCTAACAGTCACAAATGTAAATGAAGGAGTTTCACCAGCTACTGTATAGCAAATGATATTGTGCTTTTTGTGCCAAAGTACATGTGAGAGAAACAGAAAGAATATTTCAAGGAAGCTGAAAAAGAAGCAGGAGAACTTAGGTTGTAGCCTGAACAAGTAGTGGCACCATGCTGAAAGCCTGAACAGAGAACCTCCGTCGCTGAGAGCTGGCTCAGGGAGGCTTGCTGTTGTGGATACAGGTGCTTTACCACGTTACTTGATATTTTTTGTTTTAAGAATTAGGATTTCATGTTGTTTTCAGATAGAGAACTACATCACAGATACCTGACTCTACTGTCGTGTTTTTCTTCTTAAGGAAACAACAAAGTTTTGTCTAACCTGTAGGGGCAAAAAGAAGTAACATTATTTAACACCTCAACATATCAATTTTCTATTTTGTTTGATGGGCTGACTATGATTTACAGGATTTCTTTATGAAATTCAATTAAATATAGAATTTATAATATTCATGCAGTTTCTGTGCCAAATATACACAGTGCTGATGCAGCAGGGATCTCAAAATATCAACCACCTGCTTGGGAGGAACAGAATTATGAATGCATCTCCTTAAACAATAATTCATCATACTCAGAAGCCTAAAGTTAAGCTACTCTAGAGCCAACACAGCTGCTTTACCATCTTATTTCGGGGATACTGCTGACTTACGAAGCTGGTTATCATTCTTGCAACTCATGACTAAGAATGCAGTCAAGGATTTGGAAGTTTAGGGAGTGTAGCACTGAGTGTGGCATGAAGGATCCTGGCTTTCAGCTAGGAACCCAGAGCTGTGAGTGGCATGGCCACACTGCTCGTACTGTGCACCAGGAAACTAAATCAGTCAGATCATGGAATTTTAGGGAAAGCCTTCGCTTACCTCACTGAAGGCTGAAAGTAAACCTTGTAGTAAATACCTGAACCTCTAAATACACATGTATATATGTATATATATATGTATACATATATATACACACATACAGGAGTATAGGGGAGAGAGAGAGACGTCCCTGAGCTCAGATAAGGTACAAGCTCATGAATCAAGAACATACTTTGTTGCCTCGGGAAGGATACTCTACTCAGAATAATGAAATTAATTTTAATCTTCATGATTTGGTCATGAGGGGGCTTTGATCTCTCATAACTAAGGTTTACAATTATTATTTTTCCAGACAGGCTGTGCTATACAAGTGAGACACGCTGGAAACACAGCTGTGCTTGGAGGACCTACATACAGTCTGGGGATATACGTGCATAGCAAAAAAGAAATCTCAGTGTTTGAGTGGGGTTCTGGGGGACTGAAAAAATAGCACCACAGTGTGACAGTGGCTTTAAGTCCATTTTCGCTGCATGGAGGCAGAATCCTGCTGTGCCCATTCCAGTCAGGTGTTAGTCTAATTGGTCCTTTATAACTTAGATTTTATAGCTTCCCTTAGCAGCCAGGTTCACTGATTGAGTATCCTTCATTAGGAAGTTTTTCCAATCTCTAATTTAAACCTTTACTTCATGTGGAGCCAGCACCTTTCCTTCTCCCTTTGTTGACCAGGACAATATTTCAGAAGCACCTTCTCTGCAAACTTTTTGAGTGTTAGAAGACTATTACCTTAGCTTTTTATTTCAACGGTCTATATATACATCCTCCACTTTGTTTCTTCCTTATAAAAATGAAAATTTTAGTACGTTATAATGCCTGCTGCTTGCCTGGAAATGGAGATGCTCAAGCCCTTTCTGTCCCTTTCTCACTGACTAAATGCCTTTCAGGATGAATGCTTCTGTGAAGTGGGCAGCAGAAGCTTGCTCTGTCAATAAAGGGGGTGCCACAGTGCTTTAATGAATGTTGCTAAACTGTTTAGACATCCTGAGATAAAAGCCACAAAAGGAATTTCAAGTAGTCAGAGTACGAGCAAGCCTAACTGCAAATACAAGCTGTTGAGAAATATCAATATTATCTGTAGTAGCCATGCGTTAATACAACTGCTTATAGAAAAAAAAAAATCAGCCTCTAGCAGGCTTGCCTTATTACTCTCTCTCCAAGTCTGCCTGTTGGGAGCATGGTCCTGACCAAGAGCTTTTCCAGCCGTGTGATGGATTTGTTGGTCCAGCTCTGAAAGACGCAAGCATCTCTACGGGGCTGATTACCAGCTTGCCTTTAAAAAACACTCCAGACCAAACAGCTCAGGACTGTTTATATGAAAGAAAATCTGTGCTTTTGAAAAGGAAGAGACCGCCCTCTTATCATCAGGAAATAACCTTTAGGGTTTTAACAAATAAGGACAAGGAAGAGTGTTTTCATCTGGACTGTTATTGCCTGAAGCATAAAAATAGACTGAGGTCTGGTTGCAGAAATAAAATATATGACAGACTCAGAATGGGGTGAGAACACAGCAAGAAAATTTTAAAATTTGAGATTAGAGAAGCCAACTTGCTTATCTCTTCCAAATACCACTTATAATCAGCATTTTCACCTCATCTGCTATCTCTTCTTACCTTTTGTTTCCAAATAGTGCTGGAGGCTTGGTTCTGGGATAGTGCTCTTTGACATCAGCAACGTCTGCCCTTACATCTTCCCCATTTGACAAAAGCTCGTTTTCACTGATGCAGAAAATTAACTAGGGCGTTATATTTCCTTTGTATGTAGACCTATATACAATTTCTATGTCTGCAAACATGGTAATTCTGTGAGTGAATAAAACCAAAATCAGAGTCCTTTTGCATGAGTTCTGAAGTTGATAGCAAAAACAACCATGAAAAACTCCATCTAGAGAAGCTGTTTTAACATTGGAAAAAAAATAATTCTTTGCACCAATTAAAGAGATTACAGTGCTCAAAATGATGCGGAGAACTAAATAATCAGGCAGATATACTAACCTGATGTCACTTAATCAGACAAGAGGAAGAAGTATTCTGGAGTGAATGGAAAATAGTCTGTGGGATGCATGTTGGCTCATGGCTAAATTTCCTTTTATTCCCATATTCACTGCTTTTGGGGCATTCCCTCCAGCCTCTGCTCATCAGTAGCTTGAGCATGCATGAATACCTCCTGCAGTGGGTGGCAGGGGCTCTTGGTGGTGTATTGCTGAGCTGTTTGGCTGGGCCAGTGGCTATGAGCACCAAAGCGGCTGTGGCTGCCTGGGCTCATCGGTCTTGGGTATCGGCGCTCACCTCAGCTCTTCTGCTGGCGCACCCTAGTGAAATATTAAAATGTCAGTAGGGAAGATGTAGATTCCTGTTTTCAGCTTCACTCACTACAAATCTCTGCAGGGCATGTCATGGGAAAACAGACATGTCGCTAAAGATACAGAAAAAAAGACTGCCAAAAAAGAGATTAATAATAGAGAAGCCAAGGTATCACCGCTCCTCAGAAGCTGTTCCTCAGCAGGGCTTTGCAAATACTAGCCATGGTAAGGTTTTTTTTTAGAAGTCACAGATTTCACCTTTGTAATACTCATACTATGCTACTGAAAACAGTAGTTTCCACCAATAGCTAATAAATATATGTTTGAATGCAAGTTGATCCAATGTGAATTCATGCTCAACTGTGCGTGTGATGTTTGGATGTAAACATCCTTTTCACATTGTACACCACCACCCTGCTGCTCCCGTGTCTTTCCTCAGCCTTAGTTATGTATCTCTATGGTATTTTCATCCAGCTATCATCTGATAGCTTAAAATGCCTGCACTAAAATCCACTGTCTTTAAATTGGGCTGAAGATGTCAAAGTGTGTCTATATATAGTCCAGTTAAATTTCTTCGACTAAGCTAACATGCTCTGAAATGGCAGCTTTTTTCCTAAAAAGGCCAAAAGGTTTTTCCACCATGCATTGTAGGCAACACTAGAAGAAAGAAAGAGAAAAAAAAAAAAAAAAAAGAAGAAGCCAGCCCCAAACCTTGCCCACCTGGGGATCCTTCTGTGGGCTATTGCCTGGGATTTATTTCATCCCTGCATCAGGTCACAAGGTCTGCATTGCAACAAGCACCAGGTAGAGCACAAAAGAAAAATGCATCCCTGCTCGGAAGTCCACCACAGAGACCCTTTCTTTTTTAATGCCAAATGTGTGCTGAATTCCCCTGAATCATTTTAGCCATTGCTTTATCCTTGTCTGCCTGAAGACAAGGAACAAATCTCAGCCCATCTGAAGCATAACAGCTGCAATGACTTCAATAGAGTGATGAGTATTTGTTCCAGCAGGAAGTCTAAACCAAAAAATCTCTCCTAACTCTTAAGATCACGCTGCTACTAAGCAGGCTATTCCATACCACATCATGTTGATGTGGTGGCATGTTTTAAGCAAGCACATTTGAGTAATTCATCAACAGCCCCATGATGACAGTGATGCCCATAGTCCCCTAACTCAGCCCGTATTGCATCTAGTAATTGTTACCATGCTTTGAAGTCCTCCATAGGTAGTTTTTCTTAGTGGCCATGGAATGAACAGATTTGTTAAGCTCCGTAAATAAGAACTCGATTCTGCAAAGGGTAAAATACCAGTAAGAGAGGAATCTTTCCAGGGATAGCTTAATCTACAAAAGGCTCACAGTAGTGTGGGCAGTGCTCTGAACCATTGCATTCTCTTAAATAAGAAAAAAACTGGTGGTGGACAAACACAAACATTTTTACTATGTCTTTGTAATCATGTTATTGAATATCTCTCTTAAAAAACAAACAAACAAAAAAAAACAGATGCCATACTGCAGTAACGGAGGAACAAGTGAAGCAGCATTGTTTAAAATGTATTAGTTTTTTCTTAGGGGTGAAAACTTTCTGTTCAATGGGAAGATTCCTACCAAATGTCCTTGAGTTTCAGCTCCCCTTGTACTTACATTACCTGTTCCCACCATGCCCTGGCCAAAATAGGCTGCCTCCGCATTTTGTGCAAGGGCGGATTATGCAAAGGGGGTAAGAACTGACAGCAAAAATGCATTTCTGTGCATTAAACACAGCCTGCAGCCATCGGTTTCTCTCAGCATTGGATAGCAATTATTTCTGTGTAATAGGCAGTCACCCAATGACCCTCTCCTTCAGCATGCAACGCTTTTGCTGTCAAGTGTTAATCCCTTTGTTAGCTACTCAGCTGCACATTCATTTAGGAGGGCTAATGACTTACACTGTTCCTTCTCTGCATGATTTCAACAGACGTGTAATTAGAGGTGAATGGCGTCTTCAGAGGTACGGCAACCACGAAAGCCAGGGGCAAAGTCAAAGTATTTGCCTAATCTCACCATCGGTTACTTCAGTGAATGAAACCATGTGGTTGGCGGCACGCAGAAGAAAATGCTGTAGAAAAGGAGAAGCCTTTATTTAAAAAAGGGAAAGGGAAAAGGGAAAGGGAAAGGGAAAGGGAAAGGGAAAGGGAAAGGGAAAGGGAAAGGGAAAGGGAAAGGGAAAGGGAAAGGGAAAGGGAAAGGGAAAGGGAAAGGGAAAGGGAAAGGTTGGTTATTGGACACTCAGGAAACTCATAGATGAAAAGGAACCTGTTTCAAAATATGTTTTGTCAGGGTGCTAGAGAGCACACTGTAAGATAAATGCCAGTGAGGAGACTGTTCTCACACGGATTGAAAAAGTATTGAAAGGTGAAAAGCTTTGTTTTAAAGTGCTGGAGAGCCTTAATCATTAGCAGAATAACTGTGAGACCTGGAAAGCAAGAAAAACTGTATTTTGAAGGTGAGCTGAAGAACAGTTCATGTGCCTCAGCACTGGCTTAGAGAGTTTTGTGTGTTTTTTTTTCATGAAGGCTGTCAATGTCTGCAACACCTCAAGAAATATCCTGCAGCTCTTACAGCGTGTGAAAGCATCCTTTTGAAGTCCAAGTGCATTTTTGTGTGTGTATTAACATCACAGGATTAAGCAGAAAAGCGTAATAGGGAGCCATAGTCCTGATGGATTTGAGGTGACCAAAACCATATAAAACCAAACCTCTCAGTTCTGATTTCTAGGCACGGACAAAGGACAGAGACCGCTCCGTTTTGCTCTGAGATGTCGCACCCTTTCCCTGGTGGTGTTTGGGGTTGAGTCTGGAGTGTTGTGTTTTGTTTTTTTAAATGTCCTCCTGTGTTTTTCATTTCCTCACGCCTGGTTTCACCAGGCACTGCATGGCCATGCCGGGGCTGCAGACTGCTGCACCACCTCCTGCATCGTGACAGCATCCAGGACTTTTGTCTCTCCTCCTTTTTGGAGCTTAGTGTCTCTTCTCTTCATACTTCTCTCTTCATAAGTCTTCTCTTCATTAAATGTGCGTTATTGGCTGGTGCGGTATTTGCATTAAGTAACACTGACTTTGGTTCCCTCAGTTACACAGGAGCCAAGCAGAGTGATAGTTTTATGAATTAAAATAATACCACTACACACCTTCACTACCACTTTGAATTCAGGAGCATAATTTCATCAAAAAAGACAGAATAAATCAATAATTAATTAATAATTGCTTTAGACTGCTATTCAGTCTGGGTTTATGATTTAATATCTCTCACAAAGTTGTCTGATACAATTACTAACATAATTTCATGCTCAAGGAAATGTAAGTGAAGCAACTGAATGGCAAGCTCCAAAGAAATCTCTCTCACATTTGGCTTCCCCACCCTTCCAACTTGCCTGCATGCTTTCATCTAGCTATTTTATTTGAAATGCAGCTTGTGTTTTGGATAGATTTGATCTGAGGACTGCAAGCAGCAGAGGACCCATCCCATCCGTTAGGAAGGAGGTCTGATAGTAACTGGCCATCATGACACAAACTGGGGGTCTTCTTAGTACTCATACGAGGTCATTTTATTTCCCCTGCCTTTCCTTCCCTTTAGAAGACTGCAGAACAGCCCTCCAACGATGCAGAGCAACTCAAGCAACCTCAGGTGAACTGACATATTTTGGGTTTGTCTCCCTGTCCCGCTCTTTGTAAGAATTGTTCCTTGCAGGAGCACAGTGCAGCCTATGCAACAGCTGAAGCCCATTTGAGCCGCAACGCGAGCACACAGCCAGAAATGTCGCTCATTTCCCTGCAGCCTATTGCCCATCACGCCAGCAGGGACAGACCCTTTTGTGGCTGGCAACCCTGGGTAAGGTGACTACGGGCTGCCGATGAGGTTGTTTGATTTTGAATGATTTGAGATCTGCTGGTAATCAAACACAGTGAATCTATATTTCTGGCTAGTTATTTGATCATCTATATCACTAATGGTAGTACTCACCTTTTGAATTGTAACACTAATGTCTCTCTTACGTTGGCTAGCTGGCTAGCACTGCCCAGTGGTGTCAGTGTGAAAAACCCTGCATGCAGCTGCCTGCCTCGCAGCTACAGATAGGCACAGCCAGCTGAAACACTAACACACTCACTCGCTGTTTTTTCACGTACATATTCCAAGAGCCTCAGTGGTGCTCAGCCTCACGGTGTCCCTCCAGAGTGGAAGGGAGAAGGTGCATTAATCCCATCTGATTTGAGCTGTAATGATCTTCAGGAGAAAAAAAGAAAGAAAAGTCCACCAAACGCCGTAAAGCTTGCTGTAGCTTTGGCCCATACAGTAAACACATATATAGTTTTTGCTGTGGTTTGGATATAATTGAATTGAAGTTTGTTGGCAGCAGCCCACACTTGCTGAATGGTTCACACAACCTGAAACCAGGCAGCTTTGCTTGGTTCAGGTTTAATCATGAATGGTTCACAGCCTCAGTAATGACTCATATTCACTAACTATCCCTTATATGAGATGTGACAAAAGTGTATTTCAGATACACGAAGCATAATTATTTAATGATGAAGTAAAGTTGATTAGGAAGCCTTTAAGCTATTAGGCTCTTGGTAGGGTATTTTGCCTTCACTGAATAAATGAACATAATTTAATTCTTAAAAGCTATACAGCTCCTGCTGGCTCTGAAAATGATATGTAGCTAACAAGTTAGGTTTTTTCCTATTATAGAAGTCTGTATGCTACAACAAAGAGCATACAGAATTCAATGTATTGCCAGGGAAAACTATTCTTAGTGACTACCCAGGCTAAAAATGATAGAACTCACATATCCAGTAACAATCATGAACCTGACAAATCAAGCTTGTAAGCCTGTGGTGTGATCTGAAAACCTAACAAGCTTCCAAGAAGGATCTCTGGTTTAAAAATACTTTCTTTCTGGATTCTCTTTTTTTTTTTTTTCTTTCATGAGATGTGCAAGACAGAACAGCATGAGACCAGCAGGCGAACGGCTGTGCCATTGAAGGAATATATTTCTATATTATGTAGCTGTGTTCCAATTATGAAATTGATCCATGGATAAAAATCCCTTAAGGGTGGCTATTAATGAGATTGCCTGCTCTGAGTGCATCCAGTAATAAGATTAGGTATGCATTTATCCTGAGCAGAGATAAACCAATGACAAGTTCGTGCCAAGATAAGACAGTTTTGAAAGGTAATTAAACATGGGACATAATGTGCGTGCATATGTCTGTGGGAGGTTGCAGGATGGAAAGTCTCAGTTTTCATCTGCAGAAGTGCTTCTAAGTGTAACAGGTAGGGAAAAACAGGCTTTTCACAGTGGTGAGATCAAACTTGAGCTTAAAAATCAAAATATTTGAATTTGGATTTTACGAATCAGCTTTAGGAAATGTGCAGGGCCTCTTTGGCTTTTCCTTCACTTACAGGAAAGCTTGAGAGCACCCCTGACAATTACCAGCTGCCCAGCGAGCCAGGACTCCATGCCACACTCTTAGCACGGTGTTGCTGCTACATTCTGCAGCGCCCGAGCAGCGTCTGGGCTCCTCTGCAGCCTCCTGCACTGCCTGCCTGAGGCAAGCCAGATGGGCACTCTGAGAAAACAGATCTCAAGTATTTCCTGCAGGATTTGCTGCAGAAATACCAGCGCTGTAGTCACGGCATTGCACGTGGGTCACAAAAGCTTGTACCAGGGAGTTAACCTGGGTGCTGAGGTGGCACTGGTGGGGTGGCCAAAGCAGCACAGAGCTCGGCACATGCAGATGTGCCCATAAAGGCCAGGGCGCTCGGCAAGAGCATTTCTGTCCCCACCTTATGGCCAGTGTGACAGCTTGGTTACTCATCATGCTCCAGCAAGACAGCTGAAACACCTCCTGAAACCCTCTCTTTTTACAACGCTAGGACAACATTTCTCCTTACAATGCTGTCATTATTTCTTCTCTTGCTCAGGATGTTTTTGGTTGTAGCATCTCCAATGACTGGTGCAGTTTTCTGCAGGTTGCAGAAACACCAGAATCCCTCCCCAAGCAGAATTTACTCCTGTACATAAACAACTCAAGCTTGGATCAATTTCTGAATTACCAAGCTGATTAAATGGACCTTAAAACCCTGCCTCTGCTTGCCACACTTCGTCTATCTGAACCAGAGCCAATTAGCCAGAGCCTCTGCCTGTGCAACACAACCCCCTGGGCATTGCTCTGGATATTACAAGGCATCAGGTAAAAATGTGGAGAGAGAAGACAATTATAACCTATTTTAGAGTGGTCTCTGGGGAGATAATGGACAATGACTGGACTATAAAGGCTGGGAATGAAGGTGGGTACCAGTATGATTTGTGCTCGCTTCATTTTCTGCCCAGTCAGCTCGAGGCTGCTCTGCAAGCACAGAGAGCAGCCCAGAGGCTCCCGTAAAGCACATCAGGTGCTAAAGCCTTTAAGCAGCACTGTACGAAGAGAACAGGGAGTGCTTCTAATAATGTCTTGGGATATTTGGAAGAACCCTTAATATTAAGATCAACAGTAGTTCTTAATGTGAGAGTATTTTTTAAAAGTACATGCTTCAAAAATATTGACATTTCAGTGGTGTGTGAAAATAAAGGGAATTAAGTTGTGTAGGAAATTCCCTTTCCTCATTTTCGAAAACATGAAAACCTCATATTCAACTGTAGTGTCAAACATTCAACTTTCTTAAATTAAATTACTTTAAAAATGTGGATATTTGACATTTCATCTAGGTGTGCTTGAACTAAATAAATAGGTTTTCACTATGTATTCACAGACCTCAGTGGGATGGCTGTAAGGTTTTTAAATATCCACTAAATCTGTATTCTGTCCACTAAGTAGGTAGAAAATGTGACTGAGGAAGTCTCGAATGTAGCTGTGTGCTTTTAGGAGACTTTTGGTAAGAAGTTGCAAAAAAACATATGGTCTCAATTAATAAATATATTTAGCATTTTTCTTCCTAATTTATTCACAGGTAATTATTTGCTTAACAAGCTCAAAGTGGGCCAGAATCCAGTTCTTATCTGCCATGGAAAGCTGTTACATTTCCCTCTCTGTCAAGTAAAACACCAGGAGCCTTTCG